TGCTCACCTTCCCGACCCACCCAGTCTCGCTCCACGTGACCAGCCCTTCCTGTGAAATCAGGGTGGGCCTGAGTGGTAACTCAAAGGGGGCCTTGGGCAGGACCAGAGAAGAGAGGTGATGGGGGCAGTGGGGACAGAGAGGTGTCCTAGCGCTAGAGCTAAAATCCACTTTGGATTAACATGTATAATTTCCTTTTCTAACAAATATTCACTGAGCACCCATTTTATGCCATGCACGGCACGTACCGCGGTGAGCAAAAAGCAGACGAATCCCCGCCTGCGGGAACTCAGTCCAGGACGCTCCGCACCAGCGCGGGGTGCCGTCTTGCCCGTTAACCAGGGAGCACCTTCCGTGTCCTTGACCTCTTTGGAGCTCAAGGCTGCCCTTGTTCAAGTTCACCTTTTAATTAAAAACTTAAAACCCTCCGTTTCTTTTCTTTCTGAATGAGAGCAGGGAGATGTAGAAGGAGAACACAGTATGTTCTTTCTCCTTCACCTCTGCCCCACCGGGTGTGAATAAAAACACGGGGACACATAAGCCCCCACGTGCCTTTTTTCCTTCCCTATTAGAAATCAAAGACGGCACAATCCAGTGGGTCATCAAATGACCAAGCCAGACATGTTTAAAAACAGACAGTCTTGCTTTGAAAAAAACCTTTCCCCCTATTTCAGCTGATTAAAATGTAACCAACCATATACCTTAAAACTAGCCAGGATTTGTTGACCTCGACCTGAATATCTGCGTCTCATTTGTTTGTAGTGTGTGTGTTTGTTTTCTGCCCCTTATTAAAAAAAAAAAAAAAAACCTATTCCAACCTCGAGGGAGATTTCTTTACTAAAGAAACATGTTTTCTTATTAAAACCCACAGGCGAGGGAACGAGACCTCTTTTGTTCCTTCTAGAAGGTCTAGCGGGCGTAGAGTTATTGAAAACGCGGATGGTCCCGAGGAGGAGGTGGACACGCGAGACGCAGACTTCAACGGAACCAAGGCCAGTGAATGAGCGACTTGCCAGAGTTTTGCACCACAGCAGGAACAAACAACAAAGCAAAGCAAAACCCAGCAGACTCGACTTAGCATTGTCTGAATCCATTTCCAAATTCCAGACTTCACAGACACCCCTCACACAATGAGTATCAAAAACACCACCCTGTGCTCAGGGTATAAATTTAAGTTTTTATGATGTACCAGATGAAAAAAGCCCAAAAGGAACCACAGGCACACCCTCCCAGCTCTATCAATGGATTGTGCAAGAGATGTTGAGTTTTTAGAAAAACATATCCATGGTAACCAGTCACTGGCAACTTTGTTTACATGAAATGGGGAGAAAGTCGCCAAAATGGGTGGCGCTGCCCCCCACTCCCAACTCGTCCCCTAACTTGCAATACCCTTCCAACTTCTGGAGTAAGGCCCTTGTTTGCGAATCCTTTCCCCCCTCCTGGTTTCCACACCTCAGACACAGTTCACCGAGACCAAGTGCCTTCTGCAGTCACATGAATGAAAAAGGAGACACTGCTCCGATGGATAAGAGTAGGAACATTACACTCTTTTATATGCACCCCGATTGTACTTAAGGACACCCTCACTAATAAAAGGTTATAAATCACTACAATGTAGTTGGATTTTCTGTTCAACTGTTTTCTACAGAGTAAAAGAAAGTAGGGGAAAGTTGGGTTCTTGTTCACTCCTCTGAATGACCATATGAAGTCGGCTTTTTTGAGTCTCTGTCGCCCGGGCTAGAGTGCAGTGGCGTCATCATAGTTCACTGCAACCTCCAACTCCTGGCTTCAAGCGATCCTCCCACCTCAGCCTCCCGAAGTGCTAGGATTACAGGTGGGAGCCACTGTACCTGGCCAGGGTTATTTCATAAATGGGAAAACCACGGCCTAGGGAGGTAAAGTAAATTGCCTGAGATCCCGCAGCTGGCAAAAGGAAGAGCAGAGCTGCAAAGTGAGATTGTCTGAGGGGCTTCTCTAGCCAGGAGGTGGGCAGCTCCTGGGGCTGGGAGGAAGGTGATGTGTGGTCAGCAGGCCACTGTCCCCTGCCCTTGAACACCACTGAGAAGAACATCTTTGTCAACCAAAACTGATGTGTATATCATATGAAAAATATAAGATTTCATTTTTTTTAAGTTAAAACACAACACTTTGCCCAATAGGGGTCCACAAACTGCTTCTATAAAGGCCAGATCTTAAATATTTTAGCCTTGGCAGGATATATGTGGTCTATCAAATATTCATCCTTTCTTAATGACTTAAAAACATAAAAAACCATTCTTAGCATGAGGGTCGTACAAATGGGCTGTGGACCCATCTCCTTCACCTTGCGTGTTTTAGACAGACATGCCCTGCAAAGGTTCTAGTCAACACACACTTTTCCATGTACACCAACTTGGTGGAATAAAACAGGAAATAGAAAAACTAAAAAGACTATCATACGACCAAAGGCTAACATACCTTGAATGATGACCAACCGTATCCCAAATGCCTCTCTAAAAAGCTGACTTGAATAGAAATTTTCAAAAAGCACATTTCTTCATCTTTCATTACTTGGTTAAAAAACAAAAGGTGAAAGTCTGTCACCACCATCCCAGCAAACAAGTGCAAACGTATAAAGCGGCATTACTGACCACCACCACAAACCAGGTGAACGTTAGTTCCTCTTGATTTTATTGTTCTTTTAAAAAAATAAAAGTACATCTTTTACCGATACAGGTTGGTTAGAATGTTTCTCAAGTAACGAACCCGCCCTGGCAGCCCTGCCGAGGTTCAGGAGCGCTTAAAATGTTCTATTTTCAACGACAGGAAACTTTTGCTGTTCTTTCAGAAAATAACTTAGTAACAAAAGGCAGGCCATGAAGCTGCGTGCACAATCCCAAAATTAGCGTGCTCTGTTACTTGCATCTGAAAGCGTGAGGCGGCAGTTCCTAACACGCAGTGACGAGCAGATACACCGTTGTGCTTTGGAAATCCGGTGTTGGCTTCTTTCTTTGACAAGGAAGCTGCCAACAACAATCTTGTGTTTCAATCTTATTTGAAGGTAAAGCTGGTGACTTCATGATGGCTTTGAATGAAGTCCTGTTCTTGGGGGCTGCATTACCAAGGTGGCTCTACCCCAGTGACCTCCAAGGTCCAGGAGCAGAGGTCACCTCCACGCCAGGCAGGGGACTCAGGAAAGCTAACGGTTAGGATTTACCTAAACAGGACATAGGTTTCCCATTGACCCTGGTCGACCTGAAAATTGCTCTGAATCTCAAACACACCTCTAAAAACCTCAATGAGAGGCAAATTAAAAAGTCTCAGAGGTACACTACCACAGTTTTTAAAAAGGCATGTGCCTACCATTCTGTTCTCCACTCCTGGACATGATTTCGGCACACCATAAGCACTGGGGGGTCTTGCTCTGGAAGACAATTCCAGCTGACTGGGGATGGGGGTGGGAGCCTCTGAGACGGGACATTAAAAACACCTCCCAAGACCGATCAGGACTCTTCTTGGGTTGGCTCAGCATGAGGGGGGTAGCCTCACCACCCACACTTCAGAGCCCTCCCCAGAGGGCCCAGTCTGTCCCTCTTAGCAATGCACGCACCAAGAGGGAGGCCAGGAATGAGGAGACATTTCACAGGGACAAACGAACCCCAGGGGCCACAGCTGATGGCCTCAGTCATTGGCTTGGGCCACGAAGCACAAAGCAAACTACGGTGACTGCTGGCTCCTATCTCTAATTTCAAACAAAACAACAGAACAAAAACTTAGTGTAAGGAGACGAAGAAAGGTAACAACTCCTGCACAAATACCAGGGGCTTCCGCTTCCGTGGTTTTCCTAAAGCAACATCTTGACTACACCCTGGGCCGACGGCAGCGACGGTGAGGATGTGTGTGAAGGCGGCTTCCCAAATTCCAGGCGTTTTCCCAACCTTCAGACAGAGCAAACCAAATTAAGCTGACATGACAGCTGTGACAAATCTGGGCCCACAAAGTTATAAGGGCGAATATCAAAGAGTTGGGAACAGGACCTCACAGGGTCTCAATTTTCTCTCCTGTGAAATGAAGAAAACGACACTGGCTATCCGGCTCTCAGATTCCCACACTCGCACAGAAAGCCCAGTGTCAGAAGACCCTCTAGAAACGTCCACTTGTTTGTCAATTGAAACGTAAAAAAAAAAAAAAACATATTCTTTTAAAAATCCTCTTCTGGAGGTCTGGAAGTTATGTGCATGCCACGTGTCCATCACAAACCCGTGAAATTTATGTGGCTTGGGGTCCAGGGAGGTGTTGACACACCTCACACAATTCCTGAATCCAGAAGCTGCCCCAATTTTCTTTAGGCAAGAGAATAACTGACACTATTAGAGGTCACATCTGTGTTTTCCAGTCAGGTGACTGGTTTCAGGAATCTATATATTTTTTTTTTTCTTTTGAGACAGAGTCTCCCTCTGTCATCCAGGCTAGAGCACAGTGGCATCGTCACAGCTCACTGCAACCTCCAACTCCTGGGCTCAAGCCATCCTCCTGCCTCAGCCTCCAGGACTGCTAGGATTATAGGCATGAGCCACCGCACCTGCCCAAGGAATCTAGCCTGGCTAGAAGTTCGTGCTAGTTTCCTGAAGATTCTATAGATTTCAAAAGAAAAAAAAGAAAATCGTCTAGGGGAAGCAGAATGATGTTGGAAGCTCAACTCCCCAACAAAGGATTTACACAGGACATTCTCGCAGCGTGACCATCAGTCAGGGCTATAGGATCAAACAGTGAAAATGGCACTCTCCTTGGCCCTTTGCCCAAACCAGAAGCCGCCACCTAATTCTGCCTCCAGGGAGGGGAGTAGAGGATAAAGTTCACTGGCATAATCCTCCAATTTAAAAAAAAAAAAAAAAAAATGGCTGTGGGTTAGGGATTAGCATCGTGGACCTGGAGTAGGCAGATTCTCCCCAGTAATAAGAGGTTTATCAAAAGGCACTGACCCTTTATCACCCAAAGGTGCGCTGGTGCTGCTCTGCCATCTGTCGCCACCATCCCTGTTCTTGTTCCCCCGCCCTGAGGCTGGGCCACTTGTTCGGTTTGGGGACTGATCATACACGAAGTTCCGGCAGGATGCGAGCTTGGACTCCAGTGCCTGGAGAGAAACGTGCTTTTATCTCTCCGGTTAAAGACAAGAACTCTTCCCTCTCACTGGCACAGAAAAGAACCCAAAACAATGGTTCTCAAATTGTGCTGCGCTGGAATTCCAAGGAGGGGCCCCAGAAGAATCCAACATATATTCAAGTCTCAGAACCACTTGCGGAAGATATTTGGGAAGACCACTAACCCTGATTAATCCAACACTACCTGTAGGAAACATGAAGTCAACTTTTGGAATTGTTCACTCTTGTGTTTACCTTGTTAAATGTGCACAGAGTGGTGGGAGGTCTGAACAAGGGGTTGGCCTGGTGGTGAACGGACCCTGAGGAAAGCAAAAGGCCACTGAGACCACCCCAGGCCTCTCTGTACTACTAACTGTGCTAACCACGAAAAGAGGCCTATGTATAGAGTAGAAAACCCGACAACCAAAAGCCAAAAGTAAAAACGTAAGAAATGAGTTGCGAGCGTCCAGAATACGTAGCTACGAACACATCCTCTATTCGATGACATGCTGGCAGGAATTAAATTACACGGCCTTCCAGGTGTCATTTTTAAAAATAAACAACTACAAAGAATAGCTACATTATTGCTTGAGCACAAAAGAATCCCTCCCTGTAATTAATATAAAACCTGAAGGCCAAGTGCTTTGCCCCAGTCTGTTCAAGATCATCTTTTAAACTCCCAGAGAAACCAAAAAAAAAAAGAGAGAAGGCACTTCATAAATGCCCCTTGGTTTTTTCAAATTAAAGAAAAAACCACAGAAACCACCCTAATTTCCCAAACTGCCTGCAGGAAAAATGGTGTAAGGGAAAAAAGACACACCTAGGGATCAAACGGAAGAGGCAGGGTCAGAGCTCGGGGTGTCTGGCAGTAACTCCCACGGGAAGCGCTAATGATTCCCAGGGACGCTCAAGGACCCGCCACACCTAAAACTCAGGACGCCTCTGTCACAGGGAAAGGAACTGGTAAGATTAACCCCCTCTCATATCCCGAAAGGCGAGGCACGCCGAACCCCACAGGGACACGCGGCCTTACCCCCACTTTCCGCAGCAGGTCTCCCACAATGTTGAGGGCTGATATCCGGGCTGCGGGTGTGAGGGGGGTCCCCCCAGTGGAGTCGTCGAGGCCTGGGTGTGCAAAGAAAAGGGCACGTTACACACCAACCCACAGCCACATCTGTGCACCAACATCTCTAAAGCTGACACCGTGGGGTCAGAGGGAAGCTGACACCATCCCTTAGCATTGGAGATGCCCTGTCGCACCCAATTGCATGACACGCCAATAGCCTATTTGACAGCCGACGTTTCAAGTCCTTATGATGACGACATATCAAACATTTATTTTTACATGTTAGTCTTTTTAAGCAAAACCAAAGCAAGTCCTCTGGAAATTCGAGGAATTCCATACAGTTGACACTAATGGCATCTGTGATAAATACAACAGATGTGAATAGAGCGAGCCAGCTTTACAAGGGTCCCACGTCATAGAGCCCCCTCTCCTCAGAGTGGGGTCTACGGCCCAGCAGTGGCAGCGTCACCTGGGCACTTAGCAGAGATGTGGCATCTCAGGCCCCACCCAGACCCACTGGGTCTGCATTTTAACCAGACACCCTGGTGAGTTGTGTACATATGACCGCGTGGACAACTCTAGCCTGGGATTCCAGAGATTCCGCTAGTCTCTTTGTCCCCAGGGGACAGCCTAAAGGATAAGGCAGTAGACGGTAATGGAAGCCTGGAGCTGGCCGGCCTGCCTGGGTTTGAACCCAGCTCTGCCACCGACTTGCTGTGTGACTTTATTAACTCAGGGCCTCAGACTCAGTGGGGACAGTACTTGTTACATGGGCCTGCAGTGAGAATTCGGTGAGGTCACAAATGCCAAGCACTTTGAGCAGAGTGGCCAGCACATACCGAGCACCCGATAATTGTCTATTATTAGCATTTGCTATAAGTGGCCCGATCAGAGTCTCACAGTTAAGCAACTGGCAGGAGGGGCTGGGGCGAGAGCTCAAATTTCTTAGTTTTCCTCACACAACACAGGTTACTACTCTGCGTCTAGTTCTAGATGGATGTGTCGTTGGACTTACAAAATGTTTTTTTGATTTTTTTTATTTGGGCACTGACATTGCAAATTTGGGAGGTTTCATATTCAAAACAGAGAATTTCTGGGTTTTGGTGAAGAATGGGCAATTCTGCTAATGAAGGGCCCACATTCCTTATGGTAGAAGCAGAGTGGCTGCCACCCCTCTTCTGGATGGGGTTTCCATTCTCCGCTTTGCCACAGACCCCACTACTCCCTACCGTCTCACACCTAAGACACTCTTTTCATTTATCTTGATGCGCCACTGCCACAAGCATCCCAGTTTGCTCCCTGCGACACAATCTGCTCCAAAGCTTCACACCCGGGACCCACCCCAGATTCTCACCCTGGAATGCTTCGAGCAACAAAATCCCCCCAGACTCCCCACCCCTTACCACGCCTGAAGGTCCCTGGAGTGTTTAAACTGGAGCTGGGTCCCCGATGTGCGATGGGAGTGGATGGCACGGAGCCAGTGGCCTGTACAGCAGTGTCTGTCCTTTCAGTTTCCACTGCACTGGGCAAGGGAGTCCTGGGTTTTTCTTGCTTCTGTTGCACGGCCAGTTCCTGCCGCAAATCTGTGCCAGGAGAAGGATTCGGATATTTAAGTCCTTGCATTGGGTGGGCAGGGTATAGGTGGGGAGGTTTGACAGTAGACGCTGCTCAGGGAGAACTACCAGGGTGAAAACTCCAGGTGGAAACCCCGAATGAAGTGAAACCCATGGGACCTTGCCCAGCTGGCTTGCAAAATGACAGGACTTCTTTCGAGTAAAAAATGAAATGGTTTAACATTTTTTTCTTTTTGAGAAAGTCTCACTATGTTGCCTGGGCTAGATAGAACGCAGTGGCGTCACCACAGCGCACTTCAACCTCAAACTCCTGGGCTCAAGCGATCCTCCTGCCTCAGCCTCCCGAGTAGCTGGGACTACAGGGAACGCCACGATGCACAGCTAAGTTTTCTACTTTTTGTAGAGACAAGGTCTCATGAAGTTGCCCAGGCTATTCTCGAACCCCTGGCAGTGATTCTCCCACTTCGGTCTCCAAAGTGCTGGGATTATAGGTGTGAGCCACTGCGCCCAGCACAACGTTTATAATTTTTAAAAAAACTAGTGGCAGTGACACACTAATACTTTATTATTAAAAAAGAATTCCAACACAGCAATTTATATAGAATACTAAATCGAAGTGTGCTTCCCAACGTACCCCCAAAACGTCCCTCCTCACTCGTAATCACTGTAACATGTGGATCTGTTCAACCTTTGTTGTCTGCACAAACATACACTTTATATGTATGTAGTTCTCTATTAAGCATAAAATAGAAACAGTTTTTATTAAGCATAAATGGAAACATACAACATCCGTCTATGACTTGTTCTTCCCGTTCAATGGTACGCCTTGGCAATCTTTCTATGACTGCATGGACAGCTCTACCTTGCTACTTTTAACAACGGCTTAACATTCTGTGAAATAAATCCATGTCATTTATTTAACCATTTACTGATGGGCATTTAGGAGTAACTACTTTTTAAACTTAGGAGTTTTTCTCTTTAATCCTTCATCTACTAGCTACACATAAGAAACCAAATTAATGTTACATACAATTAATTAGGACTTAAAAAAAATCTCTTCTACACCCAAACTTGGATCATTCACCAATCAATGTCTTGCTGCAGTTTGAAAACTCTGCTTCTGGAACTGCCAGCCTCTGAAGGGCAAAAGCTGAGGAGCTTTCAGAGTTCTAAGGCAAATGCAGAAGTTGCTAACGAGTCACAAAAATAACAGGCCAGGCCAGCAATTCCACCAGAAATCTCTCCCACGAAAGTCTTGTCCTCCTCCTAAGCATCAAGCCATTCTGGTGAGTGTGTGAATTATAGACCAGGGAGAATCTTACCTGAAATGAATTCTGCAAAACTCCAAAATAAGGGCTTAATCTGTGAACCTCAACGCTATTTCTGTAAATACCCACAAGGGGCCTTTATGGGGTTGGACGATTCTTCTCACGGGACAGGGACCAAGGCAAGACCCTGCCTGGTGTGGTCCTATGTCCTCTGACCGGACCTCCTGTGTGCAGAGCAGGGTGCAGATTGCTAGTAGATGCAATCCTGGGTAAGGCCGTGAGACAAAAGGTTCCCAGGGAGGGAGAGGGGACAACGCTGGTGAAGACAAGGAACAAATGCCGGGGCCTCCTACCTCTGGCTTCATCCTTCAGTCTCTGAACGGATTCCAGGAGATTCTCCTTCTCGTCAAGTTCACTTTCCAGGAAGGCATTTCTTTCGATGGCTTGATTCAAGCGCTGCTCAAAGTCTTCCAGAGACATGATCGTGGCTCTGAGTAAGAGAAGAGCAAAATGAACCAAGAGCGCAAACGGCCGCATCCCTCAGGTGCCCGCAGACCCAGGAGATGCAAAGGGTCAGATATACCTGGGCCTGAGTCCCAGCACTGGACTTCCTAGATGCCACAGACCTGGGTGAGTCCCCTAACCTTCTGGGACTTGGGCTCTTCACCTGCAGAATGGAACTCATCAAAGCTCATGAGGTGCACAAGGTCGTCCTAAGGATTAAATAAGATAATGTCCATGCGGCACTCAGCCATGAGCCAAGGCACTATCAGGACTGCAGGTGGTGACCAGCTGTTTGAGAAGAGCTGTATGCTGTGCCTTCTCTTGGAAGCTCACAACGATAACTAGTGTTAAGAAAAGACTAATAGGCCAGGCGTGGTGGCTCACACCCATAATCCCAGCACTTTGGGAGGCCAAGGAAGGATTGCTTGAGGCCAGGAGTTTGAGACCAGCCTGGGCAACACAGTGAGACCCCAACTTTACAAAAAATTAAAAAATTAGCTGGGCGTAGTGGCACGTGCTTGTAGTCCCAGCTACTCGGGAGGATGAGGCAGGAGGATCGCTTGAGCCCAGGAGTTTGAGGCTGCAGTGAGCTATGACTGCACCACTGTACTCCAGCCTGAGTGACAGAGTGAGACCCTGATTCAAAAAAAAAATTAAAAAAAGACTAATAGAATGCACACACAATTGAATAGCATGCATTTAAACAGGTGGAAGAGACCACCTTTAACTTCTCAGTTACTTTCAAGTTTAAAAAGTTCAAAATGCCCAGCACCGGCCCAGCTGCCCTGCTAACAACCACTTCTTGTGAACAATGTGAATACTGTTGTAAAGGCACTGAGAAGTGTGGTAATAAAGAGATCTGTTTAACTTCAGGCAAACTACCTTCTCTGTGCCTCAGTTTCCTTATATGCAAAGCAAGGGTAGTAATAATACCCGCACACAGGGCTGTGGGGGGGGAAGGAGCGGGGGTGAGAGGTGGGGGGTGGCAGATAAAGTAATACAGGAAGCACACGACAGAGGTTTCACATGTAAGTGTGCTCAGTACGTGCCAGCAATTTTTACTATGGATGCCAAGTCTGTCCCCGAAGACCTTTACCATCCTGCTAACTGTATCCTGCAGTGGCCAGAGGCACGTGTTTAGAGAGGAACCCAGGAGTATACACCCCGATCCTCCACCCTAAGACTAACTGGGTATCTTTGGGCAACTTAGCCTCTTTCATGCTCAGTTTCTTCAACTACAAAATGAGGACCGATTCATTCATTTATTAAACATATGCTACTATGTCTAGATGGAGTTATATTAGCACCTACCCCCAAAGGGTCTTCAGAGGTAGTGAATAGGGTAATGACACCAAAAGTGCCTGATTAAAAACAAGGTGGTAATAATTAGGAGTACAATACTAGAATCAGTTTTTTTTTGAGACAGAGTCTTGCTCTGTCTCCTGGGCTGGAGTGCTGAGGTGTCATCATAGCTCACTGCAACCTCAAACTCCTGGGGCTCAAGCGATCCTCCTGCCTCAGCCTCCCAAACAGCTGGGACTACAGGCACATGCCATCACGCCCAGCTAATTTTTCTGTTTTTTCTAGAGATGGGGTCTCGCTCTTGCTCAGGCCGGTCTCCAACTCCTGAGCTCAAGCAATCCTCCCACCTTGGCCTCCCAGACTGCTAGGATTTCAGGCATGAGTCACTGCACCCAGCTAGAATCAGTTTAAATGACCCTAAGCTTGACATGTCAAACAGCAACAAAAAAGATAAAATACCCAGGAATTCAGGTAACAGCAAATATGCAAGGCTGTACTGTAAGGTACAGAATCCTTGTGGAAATGCAGACATACTGTGTTTATGGAGAGGAAGACCCAGTGCCATGAAGAAATCAGTTCTCCCTAAGTTAAACTGGAAGATTTAATACCATTTTAATAAAAATACGAATAGATTTTTATTTGGGGGAGGAGGCACAGGGAGACTGATTTGAAAGATCCTATGACAGTGAAACAAGAATGTCCAGAAGTCGGAAAAAGAAGAGCTCAGGGAACGACCCGTACCAGATACAATGGACAAGCTGTTATAGAGCCTCGACAACGAACAACAGTACGCTACAGGTTATAAGGACAGACAGACCAGGGGAACCAGAGGTTCAGAAATAGATGACAATTTATGACAAAGATGGTCTCACAAATCACTGGCAAAAAGACGGCAGGTTCAATTCTAGGTTTGGAGACCACTGGGTAGCTACCTGGAAAAAAATTAATGTTGGAGTCATAGCTCATACTGCAACTCAACATAAGTTCCAACTGAATCGGAAAGTTAAACTCAGTATTTGATCAACATCTACTATTTGGCTTCTGGAATGCTAGAGAACCGAAGACTACCTTCAGCAGCATTTCTGAACCTGTGTGGATCATAATCGTGTGGTTGTATATAAGCAGCGTAACAGCATCAATAATACTGTCGAGGGATTTTGTTCAGATTTACTGGTACTATCTGAATATTTGCTTTCAAATAAAGGTCAGCATCCTAGTTGTGACCAGACTGAAAATCACTTTGTGTACTTTTTATGTTGAAATTCTGTCAGCTGATATACAAAAGCATATAAGAGTGAAACGCTTTCAGATTCATAAAAGGTTGTGAAAGACAAAAAAATCAAAAAAAGATTTAAAAAAGAATAAAATGCTGCAATAATTGGTGACTGCAAAAGCTGTTAATCTCATGTAGTTACTGAGAACTTGAAAATACTTAGATTTTCAGTAAACGTTGAGTATTAACGGATACATTTGTTAGATAGCTAAGAACATATCCTTTTTGACCCAATAAGTGCTTTAAAAGTCTATAGAATGAAAACACATGGAAAAGTAAAATCAGATTAAATCAATTTAAATCTTTGTAAAACTTCTGGGACCTTAGCACCCACATATTAAACTAAATAACCTTTAAGGGATGTATTTAACTTTTAGTTACTTCTGATGAGGCCCTGCGTCTGTCAAGGTTATTCCTGTACGAAGTCTCTCTCCTCGGTCAAAAGTTGAGTCATTTAGTTTTAGGGACACATAGTATAAGGGCCGTAAGAGCGACCAAACAGCTGGTGGTACTGAGAAATGATTGTTCTTGCAGTAGCCTGCCACATTTTCTAAATATAACCATTAAAATGTTACAATAAAATTGTAATATTTTAAAACTTTTTTTAAATAAAACTTTGGTATTCTAGAACTTTATCCTACCTCATCTGATTTTGACACACAACTATTCAGCATTTGGCTAAAAAGTGAAACCAGTATATCTTTAGTACAGAGAGAAAGAGAGAGAAAAGAAAAGGAAGTTAAAGAAAACATAAAAATATTAATACGAGAAAAAAACACAGGCTAAGTGCCTTATCACCCTTGGAGTACAGAAGGCCCTTCTAACTATGATTGATGAATAAATGTCACTACATGGAAATCAAGTAACTTCTGTACAGGAACACACACAATAGACAAAGCTGGAAGACAAGTGACCAACTCCAAATGCTCTCCTGTCACAGACAAATATATAAATACCTCCCGGAAATGACGGGAAAAAGAACCAAAATAAAACCAACAACTCAATTTAAAAACAGGCAAAGATAAACAGAGTTCATACAGAAGAAAACAAAACAGCTCTTAAGCACATGAAAAGGAACTCCAGGTCACTCAGAAATGCACCTATTTCTCACCTTTTCAACCAGCAGAAATCCAAAGTTTGAAAACCACTCTTCTAGGGAGGCTATTTATAATAGAAAACGGGGACTTACACACTTAGCTGTTGGGAATGTAATCTGGTACAACCATACAGAGAACTGAGCAATACCCATCAAAATCACATATACATGCATCCTTTGACCCAGCAATTTTACTTCCGGGAATTTATTCTACAGATACCCATCTGTGCAAGGTTACTCATTATGGTAATGATTATCATTGCAAAAGAATGGAAATGCATCCACAGGAGACTAGATAATACATTATCATCATACCATACAATACCAACCATACAATAGAATATTCTGTATTTGAAAAAAAAGAACAAGGAATGCTCTGTCCTAATAAAGAATGATTTCCAAGCTCTATTGTTATCTGAAAAAGCCAAATGTACAACAGTGTGTATACAATGCTTTTTTGTTGGGGAAAAAAGGTGGGGGTAAATGGTTACTAGGAATATCTTTTTATCTGCTTGAGTTTATATTTTTAAAAAACTCTATCCCTTTGCATACAATTTTTGAACCATGTGAATGCACCTTTGTGGCAGACTATATTATTGGCCCCAATTCTTCACCCCTCCCTGCATCCACACCCTTGCCATGGCCTCACTGTGGGTGGAAAATACTTTCCCACCCTTTGACTCAGTGTGACTATGTCACTTGCTTTGATCAATGATACACAAATGGAAGTGACGGTATGCCAGTGGCTTGTCAGAAATCAGAATGTGGCTTTACATACAGTAAAGCCACAGTAATCAAGTTGTTATGTTTCTATCTATCTATCTATTTATTTATAGAGATGGGGTCTCGGTTCTTGCTCAGGCTGGTCTCCAACTCCTGAACTCAAGCAATCCTCCTGCCTTGGTCTCCTAAAGTGCTAGGATTACAGGCATGAGCCACTGCGCCTGCCCCAAATTGTTATGGTATTGGTATAGCAGTTTACAAATTGTACACTGGACCAAAATAGAGAATCCAGAATTAGATCCCAGGATTTATGATAAATTGACATTATGAGAGTTGAATTCCAATACAGTGGAAAATAAGAGTGTCTAATAAATAATGCTGAGCTGGCACAACTGGCTACCTACTTAAAAGAAAAAAAATGGACCCATATCTTTATACTAGATACAAAAATTAAGTCCAAGTGAATTAAGGCATATGTGTAAAAAAATTAAACAATAAAAAAGAAAACACACAATCAAAAGATTGAGGAGACTCCCCTAGTGAAGTCTGGAAATTTAGAAGCTATAAAAGGAGACATAATTGATGAAATAAACATGGAAAATATTTGTATGGAAAATGATACCACAAAGTCAACAGACAAAAGATTATTCTGGAAAAAATATTTCCAAAGCAGGAGAAAAGAGCAGTGGCAAAAACATACAAAGAACTTTTAACACATTGATAAGAAAGGAGGTTCCACTTCTGGTAATGATGAAGTACCTTGTCTCAGGCCAAACCTCCTACAGAATACAAATATAAACTCTGGGTAAAATGTGAAAAACAATGACCTGAAGGCACTGGCAGAAACTGGAAGGGGGTCAACGCTTGGAAAAGAATGACACTGGGTGGACTTTGCATCTTTACAAGCTTTTTGCCTAATGCTCCAGTGATAGAAATCCAACCCCACAAGGGAGCCCCAAATTCTGCATATTAATTTTCCCCCCATCTCTGGCTTCCCCTGAACCATGCGTGCACACGGCAAACTTGAAGCAGCCCAGTTAAGGCTAAAAGAACCAAACAGATTTCAGCTACTGCTCATCACAGGGGATACAGAGTCTGGAATGTGAGTTTAGCCAAGTACATTGCCTGGAAAAAAAAAACAGATAAAAACCCAACATAACAGAATTCATAGTCTCTGTAACACAGCATTCACAAGGTCCAGACTACAACCCAAAATTACTGGACTTGTGAAGTGCCAAGGAAAATGTGACCTAAATCCAAGAGAAAAACCACCACTGGAAACCAACCCTCAGACCAGATGATGGAAATATCAGAAAAAGTGGGAGGATCACTTGAGCCCAGGAGTTTGAGGCTGCAGTGAGCTATGATGACACCACTGCACTGCAGCCTGGGCAACACAGTGAGACCCCATCTCAAAATCGGCTATCATAATTATGTTCAAGGATATAAAAGAAATCTCAGTATAGGAACAGAAATTACATTAAAAAAGAACCAAATGTAAATTCTAGATCTGAAAATACAATGTCTCTAAAATTAAACATTTTTTGATCCAGTTTAACAGCAGATTGGAGAAGAGAGAAGAGGGAGTCTGTGAGCTTGAAATTAGATCAACATAAATTACTCAATTTAAGGAACTAAGGGAAAGTATTTAGAAGAAAAACTAAACAGAGTCTCAGGGACCTGTCTGGCAATATCAAAAGGATGTGTTTAGTTCGTGTCCCAGAAGGACAGGAGGAAAAAAATGGGGCAGAAGAAAATCTCTGATGAAATAATGACCCAAGTTAAATTTGGAAAAAGACAAATTTACAGACTAAAGAAGCACAGCAAACCACTATCAGGATAAATAAAAATAAAGCCACATCTGGGTATGTCATAATCAAACTACTGAAAACCAAAAATAGAGAATCTAAGCAGCAGAGAAAACAACATATTACACACAGGAGAGTGACTATTCAAAGGGTCCTTAACTTCTGATCAGAAACAAGGGGATCAGAAGGCAGTGCCACATCTTTAAAATGCTCAAAAGAAAAAAACCCCTATCAACCCAGAATTCTACCTCCAATAAAAATACCCTTCAAGGACAACGGCCAAATAAAGACATTCCCAGATAAAAGGATAATTCATGGCCAGCGTATTTACACCACGGGAAAACACCACAGGCAGTGTTTCAAGTGGAAGGGACTCGATGTCAGACAGAAGCTGAGGTCTTCAGAAAAGAATGAAGAGCACCCAATGTGCCAATAAATATAAAAGGCTCTGTTTCTACCCTCTTAATTTTTTAAAAATACAGATGAGTTTTTAAAGCAAAAATTATAACAAGGACTTGTGGAATCCACAGCATTTGGAGGTGTAATAGCTATGACAACTACAGCATCAAGTGTGAAGATGGTAAATGAAACGCTAAGGTTGCACCGTTGTTACTTTTGCAGGAAGTGATACGGTATTAACTAAGTAGCCTGGAAAGTTAAAGATGCATCGTATACCCCACGGCTGCAGTCCCCAAACCCCAGACCATGGCCCAGTACCACTCTGTGGCCTGTTAGGAACTGGGCCGCACATCACTGCGTGAGCTCCGCCTCCCCACCCCACCCCCAGTCTGTGGAAAAATTTTCTTCCGTGAAACCGGTCCTTGGTGCCAAAAAGGTTGGGAATCGCTGCCCTAAGGCAACTACTAAAAAAAATATAATGCAAGTCACTTTGGGGACAATGAAAATGTTCTGCATCAGAACAGGTGTGTGGGTTACATGCATGCACACATTCGTCAAAACTGATAGAACAGTACTCCTAAAATCTGAGCATTTCACTGTACGTAATTCATAAATAAATTTTTTAAAACACAAGTATTTTTGTCAAAAAAAAAAAAGGGGGCCCAGCTCAGAGTGATTATTCCGTAAATGTTAGTTATTGTTATTATTCTGCTAAACACTACATCAGTTTACGAAACACTGTTCCTTGAATATGCTCCTTTCCTTTCTACCTCAGGGCCTTAGCACATGCTCGTCCTGTCTGGAATGCTCTTCTCTCTCTGATCCCCTGGATAATAGCTAGTCATCCCTCTGGTCTTAGCCTAACTGGCATTTCCTCTGGGAAGCCTTGCCTGACATTCTCCCACCAACAGCCAAATAAACATATCCTATTACATGCTCCCACAGAACCCGGGACTTCCAGCACTTATTGCTGTAATTAAGTTGCACTTATTTGCTATTGTCCATTTCCCCCATGAGACTAAGATCCACAAGCGCACTGGCTTTGTTTTGTTCACTGCTGAGTTCTCTCTGCTCAACATAGCGTCTGGCACCTAGTTGCTGGGGACAAAAAGCAGAGACTAAAGGCTCCCAAGCCTGTTTTCTTCTTCCCAACGCACCGCTTGGCTCTTTCCAAGTCATCATTGGCTTGCTCCAGCTCTCTGATGTATTTCTGCAGCTGATCTTTAATTGCCTTGGTCTGTGCGAGGTCATCCTCCAAGGCCGAGATCTGCCGGTAGCCTTCGGAATGCTGCATTTCGAACTTCTCCTGAAGGACAAAACAGACACTCGGTGAATGATTCCAGACTTCTGATTAGCTATGTTTGTTTCTCTTCCTTGTCATCTCCTTAAAAACAATGAAGTTTAATTCTGGAACACGTGCACTCCTGCTGCAGCGGACATTCGTCATTTTGTGGCCACTGAGTATCCATTCTGCCCCACAGAGAGAGAGAGAAAGAGAGAAACAAAAGAAAGAGAATAGAAAGAAAGAAAGAGAACAGAAGGAGGGAGAGAGGGAAGGAAGGAAGGAAGGAAGGACAGAGAGGGATCCTGTTATTCATTACCAAAGGAAGCTTAGTGTGATCTAGCTAGTGCTTTCTAAAGGCAAGGAACAGTCCAGATAACATCTCAATGATTCCGTTGCCCGGCTGGAGCACTAACATTTATCACTTATTCTGTGCCAACTTCCAGGCTAAATACACTACATATGTTGCCTCATTTAATCCCACTTCAGCGATGTGAGATCTGAGGCTCAGTTACTTAACTAGCCCAAAGTGGTAGTAAATGACTAAGCCAAGATCAAACCCAGGCCAGCTGGGCTGGTGCTCTTAAACAACTGTGCTAAATGGCACTAAACCATTTCAATCCAGGTTGCCTAGCTATTGAACATTCTCGATTCTGCCCCTGCTCCTCTTTCATGTTACTTTCCTTCATCAAACACCCAACTTATATTCTACAAACGTGAATGAAAACACTCACTTCCCACAAGAAAACGCCCAAGGTCTAATTTGAAAGTTAAAAAAAAAAAAAAAAAGGCAAGTTCCTTTTCTTGACTCAGCCATGTAAACAAAGCTGTTGCTAGAAACAGTCCGGATGTGCTGGGGAGAGTGATGTAATGGTGCCTAGGCCAGAGAGGGTGGCGAGAGCCACTGTGAAAGAAGAATGTCCGAAGAACAAATAGATTATTTATAGGGTGACGACACGGAGGGCACTGCACATCCTCCCATTTTCTGGCTGTGAGCACAAAGTGTCTGCACTCAGGCAAACACAGGCCGACCAGGCCTCATTCCCAGGCATGGCTCTGATCACCTCACGCCCTTTATCTGGGGACATTTCCAAATAAAACAGGATCCTAGGCCATTAACCTAAATTCAAATGCAGCTTCCAAGAGGATGCAGTGAATGGCCCCACCACCTGCACAGAGATTCTTATGGTCTCCTTTGAACTTGTGGACGTGAACACCTGTTGCTACAATGTTGTGCTTTCATTTGGGGCTAATTCCAATAAGCTGTCAGCTGATAGGGACATCAATAGATGCTCTGTTTGATCCCTTACAGACTTTTTCAACTTGTGATGAATAAGCCAGTTGTTTAGAAATCCGCCTCAGCTGAGTACATTTCTCTTAGGTGATTGACACGTTTGCTGGTGGCAGGGGGTACTGTTATTCCAAAGTACCCGTATTTGTCCCCCACTCTGTGCTGAGTCCCATGCACGTGTCATGTGGTTGTAATGAAGAGGTCTTCTGCAGGTTCAAGAGCTTGGTCTTGAACAGTTAATTACTTAGTAACTGCTTGATATTTATTTAGCATCCATGGAGAGCCTCTTACCCTCTCCAAATTGTAGTTCATACCACTAATTTTCCTCCTACACTGATTTTCATCCAAGTCCCCCTTCAATTTAAGAACTACACTGATTCCTTGTTGCCTATGGCAGGGGTCAGGCTTTGAACAAATGAGGGAAGGTGGCCAGGGGTAGGGCTAAGCAGCAACTGACACTCAGCCCTCAGCGTCAGGGATATGGAGACTGGGGTACACTTAAGAATGAATGTTTGTTCTAAGCAACCAACGACTCAGCTTGGTGGTGGTGTGGAAGAATGCAGGCCTGGTGTGGCCAAGTCTTCCAATTCTCAAGGGAAGTCAGAAATCCAGACTTTTGGCCATCTGTGGCAGCTCACTCCTGTAATCCCAGCATTTTGGGAGGCCGAGGCAGGAGGATCACTTGTGGCCTAGAGTTTGAGACCAGCCTGGACAACATATGGAGACCTCATCTCTACAAAAAATTTAAAAATCAGGTGGGCATAATGGCGTGTGTATATAGTCTCATCTACTTAGGAGGCTGACGCAGGAGGTGCTTAAGCCCAGGAGTTCAAGGCTGTGGTGACCTAGGATTGTACTACTGCACTCCAGCCTGGGTGACAGAGCGAGACCCTGTCTTAAAAAAAAAAAAAAATATCCAGATGTTTGTAGGAAGCCTTACAATTTCGATGGCTGGAAATATACATACTAAAAGGCAAGTATGGTAAATATTACCGGCAGAGCCTAGATGGTGGGTATATAGGTGCTCACTGGACAATTCTTTCTATCCTGCTGTGTACTTGAAACCTTTCATGGGAAAATGTTGAATAAAAACCACTAAAGCCTAAGCAAACATCTACGGGCCAGAATGCTCTGCAGATGGCCAGTTCGGGCACTCTGGTCTACCTTGAACTTCACCGCTCAGCTTCCACAGTCTTTGGGGACCTTTCCTCTCCTCCTTCCTGAACCCCCATCCATTTGTTGGTCCCACTTTTTGGCATGTACTAGCAATGCTGGGCTTCCCAAGGTCCACGCGACTCACTCTTGTCCTGTGACGGGCCCAGATTAGCTCTTCATCAACCCCATCTGCTGAGCACCCAGCCGCTGGCTACACTCCCACCATACACACACACACAGACACCCAGAGACAGCAGCTCGAATCCCCCATCCGCTCTCCCAAAAAGCCTTTCCCAACCCATGCAGCTCTCTCCCTCTTGGAAGGCTCTCACGTCACAACTGCGATTGCACTTTAGGTCCCTAACTGCTTCACGGTGTTAGCTCTGTCTTCCAAAAGCAGCTTCCAGAGGGCAATGAGCACTTCTCCTTTCACCGTCCTGGGCACATACTGTATGGCTATAGCTGTTCCCCTCAATGACTCATCAAAATTTACATGGGGAGATTTAAAAAAAAAAAAAAAGAAGACACAGACATGCCAGGGCCCCATCCGGACTTACTAAGAAATAGAATCTCAGAGCAGGGTACAGGGGTAGGGACAGGGAGAGAGGGTGCAGGCTTGCTGATGTTTGTGATGCTGGCCTGGGGATCGTGCCTGGCAGCAGGGCTGAGAGCCAGTCTCTGGACACAGTTCCTCTGATCACCTGCTGAGCCCTGGAGACTGTACAGAGAACACCATCTTTACCCTGCGGAGCAGTGGTTCCCTACGTACTCACCCGTGTCTGGAGGCAGTTTTGGTTGCCACAGCCTTGGAGGGGAAGAGGATGCTGCAGCACCCAGTGGGTGGAGGCCAGGGATGCTGCTCAACGTCCCACAGTGCAACACTCAGCCCTACCCTACAGAGAATGATCCAGACCCAATGTCAACAGTGCCCAGGATGAGAAGCCTGCTCTGTGCAACAGAACTTTCCATAATGATACGACAGAAATGTTCTATAGCCCCTGTCCATTAATGACAACCCACTAGCACATGTGGCCCTTGGGCACTGGAGATGTGGCTAGTGTGACTGAGGAGTTAAATTTTTATTGTCATTCCCTTAAATTTCAACCTTCACATGTAGCTAGGGGCTACCATACTGGACAGCATAACTCTGGACCTTATAATGATCAGCAATTCTAGCGACACTCCATACTCTAGAAATGTCTCCCTGCCACGTGCCCTGTGAAACTGGTGCAGACAACCAAGAAAGTCTGTGACAACATGCACGTGACTTGCTTCTCATTGAGCTCCACCTGTCAGGGGCATGAAGAGTTCAACGACCATATCTGCTCCCCAGGGCCTGGGCCCCTCGCCACAGGGCTTCTCCTTCCAGGCACACACACCATGTCCGTGTCAGAAGCCTGTCTATACCTACGTGCTTTTCCTGTCGGCCCCTCACCTTGATGGTTTCTAGCTCCGTGCGCAGGCGGTTATTTTCCGACAGGAGGTCTCTGTTCCTGGTTTCAATTTGTTGCAGCTGCGTCTCCAATTCAGCTTCATATTCTCGGCTTCCCTCCTGGAATTCTCGGAGTTCCTCTTGCGTGTTCTCCGCCCTAGGGCAGAATTCCCAAATGTTAAAATAATAATGTACCGAGTACTTAACATGTGCTGGGCATTGTACCGTCAGACGTGGCACATCTCTTTATTCAACTGCCTTTGAGGCAGAAATTATCATTATTCCCATTTTACAGATGAGAAGATGAGGTTTGGACAAGATGAATGACTTGTCTAAAGGTCACACAAAATCAGGAATAAGACTTGGACCTGAACCTAGGTGTGCCTGACTCCAAAGCCAATTCTTAACTAGTTCACCACTCATTCATTCAGCATATACTTTTAGAGCCCAGCATGTACTAAATATACTTTGGATTTTGTATCCTTGGCAGATTTATTTATAAGCATATTTCCAGGAACTGGACATACCATAAATGCTCACTTATCGCACCACCATAATCTGTCCCTG